TCTTTTGAGATGGAGTTAGAGTTTTTCTGCCAAATACCATACCAACATTGTCAACAACGATTTTAATGTCATCTTCAAGTATGTCCCATAGCTTATCACCGAGTCCAATGATATACGTGTACATGTTGCTTTTCCACCATTCAAACTCAGTGGAGTCACCACTGAATACAAGAGGTTTAACAGAGTAATGATTTCTCTAAGAATTACTGTAATCATAGGGAAGTCCCCTTACTGAGGAACTAGAATTAGTATTCTCAATGGTCATATTTTTCTCGTTGGATCTTTAACTTTACTACGGTTAAGTGGTATGTACAGACCTTGCTCTGATACCAACTAAAGGTGAGAAAAATACATAAAAGGGGGGTTGAATTGTGTTTGCAAAATTCTTTTTACTTCTGAACTAGAGTTCAGATTCTAAACCAGAGTTCAGAATTTGATAATGAGTTCAGCGAAAAATGTGACAGAAGCAAATAAAAACAACAAAGAATATACAACAGTTATCCTGGTTCCTCTCCAACTAAGAGTACTCCAGTCCTCTTGTCACGCAAGAGATTTCCATTATAATCAAACTTATTACAACTGCTTATACTCACCGGTATAAGACTTTCCCTACTCAAACCTACAACCTAAGACTTCTTTGCTTAATCAGCACCTGATCAATACTTCTCTGCTTAGATCCGCAGATCCTAAGACTTTCCTTTCTTAAACCCTCTTGGTTCAAGACTTAATTTCTTAGACACTTTGCCTAAGACTTCTCTACTCAGACGCACCATCTAAGATTTCTTTGCTCATATTCACAATCTAAGACTTCACTGCTCAAGCCTAAGGCAAGAAACTTTTATCTGAACTGACTATTTAGAGAAGGAAAAACTTACAATAACACTTGATTAACAATAATAGGTGTTCAAATATAATACAACACACTCTTACACAAAGGATTCTTAAGCTATACAAGAATAAGAACTCTTTAACAAATTAGCTTCTATTGAGCTGATATGAATATAATGCGTGTATATCTAAGTTGTAGTTGTAGCATTATTTCTTGAGTTGATCTTCCAATATTCTGCCCTTTTTATAGCTGAAGAAATATAGTCGTTGAAGTATCCTCAACAACTATAATCAAATCAAATCTTCTAGTACATCTTCTTTTCCAATAAAGCAGGTGTTGGAACTCGTAGTCAATGAATTATCCATAAAACAAGGCCTTTTCCCGAAAAACACTTCTATGAAACAAGTGCAACACAATCTTTTAAAGATAATATCAATATATCTAGAGTCCCGTGTTAGCAGAGCTTGGGTTGATACTACTCAGTTTCAGAAGCATCCTTAACACTCTTCTGATTCTGAAATGTACTAGCAGTAACATTCTGATCAAACTCTCTCATGAGCGTATAATCAAAACCAAACCAAAACTACTTATATGTTAGAACCAGTTACATTAAATAAATAATTTTGCGCAAAAGAACCAGCTAGTTAAAAATCCTAATTATTTTTTAAATACTTTGTTATCATCAAAACTTTAGAGGATACATGGTATGAACCAAATTTGTCTCAACACGGTTCTCGCAAAGAAGTAGCGTTGGACAGTGAATCGAATTTTGATCAAGGGAAGAGAAATTTCTAGGATCAACATCAAACTTAGGGTTTGTTTGGTTGGATTGCTACATTTCTCTTGTAAAAATACTATTGCAAAGTGAGATTAGTTACATGATCTTAATTCAAATTTGAATTGAGGGCAGACATACCCATAGCGAGGCTGATTGGGGAACTACCTAAACAAATCCTTGTGTACTCTATCTATCTATCTATCTCTATTTCATTTATATTTCATGTGCAAATTGTCGTGTTCATCATCTATGTGATTATTTTATTTTGTGATTTCTTTTTAAAATCATTTGAAAATCATTTTGTTGAATTGATCACAACCACTTTTATTATGATTGTATTTGAAGATCAATAAAACTATACAAAATCTCAAACATTATTGATCGCACACAAGGTGTTTGATAAATTATTTCAACTGTGTTTTTGTTCGATTTGTTATTGAAAATAGAATTGTTTTTTAGTAGCCTTATAGTAATTTAATATCAAAACATATTGATTGAAGTTGTTTATCATCATCTCCAATTTGTTTTCATATACGCACATCTGAGTTTTTTAGTAGCGGTTCGCTATAGACGAATCGATCCAAGTTACTTCCGTTAGCAAACTTTTTAAAAACCATTTTCATCTATAATTATTTTGGATATATTCACCCCTTCTAGATAAGTTGCCTTCGTCTAGCAGCGGAATTTAGGGTGTTACACTTCTCGTCACCGTGGGCAAGCCCTAGCCACCATGCAACGTTATATGGTTGTTCATGGTATGATTCACGGAGAAAACCAAACCAAACAGAAATAAACCATAGTATAAATTTATTTGAACTGAACCAAACCATTTCAATTTACTTAGAACCGAAACGAACCATAATCATTGGTTTGGTATACCGTTTTAAAATTTCGAACAGTACTGAATCGTTAGAAGTTAAATTTTCCCAAACCGATTCATTTATTAAAGAACTGAACCATTAAACTATTTTAAATTTTTTTATTAAAAAGTTGAAACATGTTTTTAGTATTTTTCATTTTCAGTTTCGGTTCGGTTCGGTTACAGTTTTAGTTTGGTTCAGTTTCAATTTCGGTTCTGTTTTAGAATTGTTTGTGCAATATGGTTTGGTTCACTAACTAAACATAACGATTCAACTATTTTAACTATAGTTCGATTCAGTTTGACTGTTCGATTCAGTTCATGATTTTTTTGAACAACCCTACAACGTTATACACCTAGTAAGGCCTCTAAATCCCCTTACCGTTGCAAGAGGAACATGCACACTTATATTTAGACCCAATTATGTGTCCAAGGGTGTATTTATGAAAGGGTCAATTATTCAATGCACACTTATATGATTGTGCAATATGGTTCGGTTTCAATTTCGGTTCTGTTTTAGAATTGTTTGTGCAATATGGTTTGGTTCACTAACTAAACATAACGATTCAACTATTTTAACTATAGTTCGATTCGGTTTGACTGTTCGATTCAGTTCATGATTTTTTTGAACAACCCTACAACGTTATACACCTAGTAAGGCCTCTAAGTCCCCTTACCGTTGCAAGAGGAACATGCACGCTTATATTTAGACCCAATTATGTGTCCAAGGGTGTATTTATGAAAGGGTCAATTATTCAATGCACACTTATATGATTTAGTGGTAAGGCGTGACACTATGCAGGTGTTTCTTAGTTATAAATTCGTATGCCAAACAATATATATGTTCATTATACAGATGCAAAATTCATTCTTAAAATGGTGTTCTCTTCATCAAATGACTTGAACTTATCTATAAATAGAGACACTTGAGAAGTAGAATACATACAAAAATTGGAAATACACACACCTTTTTTTTTATCATTTATATTATTCTAAATCATCTTTCACTTCATTAATGCATGCGTGAAGTTTAAGAAACATTATTCTATAATCGATTATCAAAAGATACGCTTATTGTGCTTGTGCAATTCACATTAAGGAATTTAAAGTATCCCGAAGGAAATTCACTGTTAATCTCAATTGCATCCAATATACTATAATTGGTGGAGTTGAATTGATCCTAAAGGTTAGTGTAAAATTCACACTCTTTGAAAATTTCAAGAAATATATTCATCAACGCCTTCTTTATTTTAGTGTTGTTACATATTCCCAACAAACACAAATCCAACACTAATTGCCTCCATATATAAGGTATCCACGACAATTCTGCATGTACGTTTTAACCATAACTTGCTCCATTACTTATATTTATTTATTAACTTGAACATTGGAGTGACAACCTTACAAATCATCTGTCTGTTCTATCGCGTCAGAGAACATTCTCCACCACACGAGTTGGTCTCATGATCTCATATCCATCATTTACGGTTCCTTGAACATGACATTTATTCACAAGTTTGATTTTTATTTTTAGTAAACAAATTAGTAGCAAGATTAATAAATAAAACTTATGTAAAAATATCTAAAATAGTTAATATTAATTAAATTAGTTAAAATAAAATAAGATTGGAGGTCTAAAACGACTCCTCCCTCGTAACTCTTTTGTCAACCATATATTTTTAATCCGTTCTGAGTTAGTCATAGATTCTTAATCAATATATCAATAGAGTGGGATAAACATATCAAATAACTCTTTCTTATCCCTCTTGTTGATTAAGTGTGTGTTTGGATCTACCATGATATTAATTAATTTTGATCAAATTAATTTTAATAAAAAATAATTAAACATAAAATAATTTATGATAGGATAAATTTAAATACAAGTAATTTCTATCAATTTATTTTGTTTAGATTAAAATTACTTTTGGAAGTACAATTACTAAAATCGAGTGACAAGCAATATAATTTAGAAGTATAATACATTAAATAAACAACAATAGAAGAATGGAACAATATTGATTGGCATGCAATAGTAAAAATTGTTTTTGGATCTAGTAAATGTTAGGATTTTTATATTTTTAGGAAAGGATAGGATTTGTTGTTTAACAAACTCAATTATAGTTGACAAAATTCATTCTTTTATAAATGATCCCAACAAAAGAAAATGCTGCAAAGCGTAAATCGAATATTTCTCCAATCTCCATAAACATTGTAATTCTCCCTTTTCACTGCTATAATTTCTACGTCTCTAAAACTAATGAAATAAGATAAACGTTGCATTTTTTTCAAATTCTCATTTTTTGTTTTAAATTATACTGTTAAAATTCGAACAAACATGATTATAATGTTAAAATTCGACCGAACATGCACAAGACAGTTTGGCCGAGTGGTCTAAGGCGCCAGATTTAGGCTCTGGTCCGAAAGGGCGTGGGTTCAAATCCCACAGCTGTCATATTTTTTTAATTTTTTTTTTTTTTTTTGTGATTGTATTTATTTCATATGTTTCGTGTTTACGCGTAAACAGAGGAAAGAAAATGGCGGCATATCTGAGAAACAGAAAAATTTCACACTTATTCTCTCCAACTCGCTTTCTGAACTCACCGAGTTTCACTCGTCCGAGATGGATTGAAACCATTGCCTACGAAGAATCACGTGCTCAACCGGACAAACCCTACTCTTCCACAGCCGTAATCATCCATGGCTTTTTGGGATCCAACAGAAATTGGAGATCCTTCTCTCGGAATCTTTTGGCCACTCTCTCCAATTCCTCCCCCTCTTCCAGTATTACTCTCTCCGAATTCTCTATTTTTTGTATGCGGATTCTGAATTAAAATGGTTATGATGTGTTTTATTTCTGTGTAGATTGGAGGACGGTGTCGATTGATATGAGGAACCATGGGAAATCAGCGGAGAGGAAGCTGGATCCGCCTCATAATTTGGAGAATGCGGCTAAAGATTTGGCTGATTTGGTAAAGGTTGAAGGTTGGTCTTGGCCTGAGGTTGTTATTGGACACTCCATGGGTGGAAAAGTGGCTCTACAGTTTGCTCATAGTTGTAGAAGTGGTGAATATGGTGATTCTGCCCAATTGCCTAAACAGGTTTTTCCTCTTCAGAATCACATTTTTTGTGCTATTTGTTACTAGTATGGTTTGAATTAGTGTTGTCGAATAGCAGCTATAGCATGCCTTAGGATAACAACATAGAGAAATTTGAACAAATTGTTATTATTATGAGATATGCTATTTAGTACAATGTGTTGTCAAATAGTGTCTATTGTTGTGCTGTAGCCTTGTAGCATTGTAGAATTTGAGCAATGTGATAGGCAATTGACAACACCACTGTGAATATATAAGTTGGTAGTAGGTTGTTTGTGATTATAATGCTCGTAAGTGTGCATACTTTGTGGTGCATTAAAATATGTAATGTGTTGCTGGTTAAAAAGTAAATGTGGTTTGACAGAGAAAAACATCAGCCTTATGAATTGCGTGATGTGTTAATTGTAGCTTGTAACGAGACTTGTGCATGTTTGGGCTGAAGGGGGTTACTTATAGTGAGAATTTAATTCTTTTTCCCTCCCTCTCATTAGCTTAGACCAAATTTATCCAGAGATAAATGAAGCAGTGTAGCTTAACTTTATGTAATATCACCCTTTCTTCTTTTATTATCTCTAATTTTTCTCTCTAAATTCTTGAGTGTGACCCTACTCAAATTGAAACGGGACACTCCTCTAATCAAGTTAGTAACATATAGGAGTGAATTGAGTGATAGGGATAACCCAATGAATTTGTACGTTGACTCGTGGTGTCATCTGAGTTATGTTGCCATTTGGTAATAATAACATCATCATCAGTCATTTTGGAGTTATATGGGAACTTCAAGATAGTTATTCGGCTGTCCGTCATGCCTCTTTAAATCTGCATGTGCTTGGCTATATCAGAGTTATCAATCTCGGGGAATAGCAGCGCTGTTCCGGGAGAGGCCGGAGAGCGGTGGTCAGCCACTACGGCATAGCAGTTCGTGTCTCGATTTGAGATCATGGACGCTTTTTGGGTTAGTGGGTCGTAGGAGTCCCGGTCTAGAGAGGGTTTCAACCCGCTATTTGTTTTGAATGTGAAAAACCATATCTACCCTTTAAAAAATAGACGTTGAGGAGTTTTTCTGGAATTTCACCCAGTTTGCCCGAACTCAAAAAACAGATGATTCGTCTTCTCACTTCCTCACGTGTTTCACTCCAGTTCTTATCGCTTCCACCCCTAACTCAAAATACTCTCTTTCGTCTTCTCACTTGGCCGATTCCTCTCTTCTCAGGTTGGTTTTCGAAAGTTCTTCTTCTTTCTTCTCTTTTTTCTTATCTTCGTCTTTCTTTACTCTTCTCACCATCCTCTGTTTTTTCTCTTCTTTCTTTTCTTCTTCTTTCTTTTCTTCTTCTTTCTTTTCTTCTTCTTTCTTTACTCTTCCATACTGACCTCTGTGTTTTTTTTAAAGTAATAATGATTCAATAACTCTATCCTCTATTTTCTTCTTTTATTTGTAGACAATAGCATCATCTTCTTCTATGTTTGTTTGAATGCTAGTATAAGATGTGATGTTTTTTATGTTTGCTTGAATTTTAATATAAGATGTGATGTTTTGAATTCGATTGAGACTTGTTGAATTTGATTGAGTTTTTCTTCTTAAGCCTTGTGTTTTGATGTTTGATTTATGAATCCTTTATATGTATTGCGTTATTTGTTTAGTTTTTTCATTAAATATATGTTTTATAGTTATTATTTGTATAATTAGTCCCAAAAATAGTCATGTAGCGGTTATTGTGCTATAAGCAATCCCGCTATTCCTTTTTTGGGGTCGTCCGCTCCGCTATTAGGGATTGATAATTCTGGGCTATATCAACTTTCTACTAAAAACTTGGGATTGGGCCACCCACTCGTGCTCCCTTACTATTTGATGTCTTCCTAATAGGCGAAGTTGAGCTGAGACCAAATCCAGAACAGTATGCAACCCATATATCCTCCTGAATAGAAATGGAATCAATTAATCTTTTTAACAAGCCATATCAGTATATTAATAGGATAAAAAAGCTAAATTTGAGCATAAGCAGTGGCCAAGAATAGCCTGTAGCAAAAAAAATGCTAGTACAAGTAAAATGCTGCTGAACATCACTACACTACATTATCACCAACCAAAATCTTGTAAAATCCAAACTCCTAAGAGAAGTAAACCAAGTATTTGCCGAATAGAAGTCCACAGCCTAAAGGGAATGCAATGGATTATGCATCCCAATACATGTGATAGCAACCACTAATTGCAAAAGAAACCAGCATCTTGATGAGAAATTTGACAAGAGTCAATTTCTGATATGTGGCAGCAGCTTTTAGACTCGGTTTCTATGATGGAATAAAACCATCTTGGTACACGACCAGCAACAACCTTATTATGCCGCAGCCTACGGCGTCAAGATGATGTTCTTCCACCAAGTATTGGCACAACAGAAAACAGCCTATTGCAAAAGTTGCCAAGAACATGTAGCAGCCAGTTGCAAACTATAGCAACAAGTTGTCTTTGGATGCAAGCTGTGCAAACAGATTTTTGGTGATGCATATATTGTGTTTCTTCATCTATAATCATGTTATTAAAATACATCTGGCTTCTGCATACAAAAATGGTGCAAACTGACAACCAGAATCGGTGCAAAAATACAGCAGCAAGTAACAGTTGCATCCCCAATTTGTTGATTTTTTTCTTCAGCAGCAGGATATATAATCATCAGTAATTCGCAACTGCTGACCTAATAGGAAACTTGACGTGCAGGACGCCATGCGACATCGTCGAGACAACTCCCAAAACCCAAATAAAAAATAGACCCAACAGAACTTATACGCTGACCCAGTTGATGACTTGTGGTTTAACAAATATATATAATAATATCATTAACCTGTAAGAAACATATGATATCCTCCATATGCTTTCCATTTTTTATCCTCTTCTCAGGTTTTCTATGCCATAATCCTTTTCTATTTACGCTAATTATTTTATTATAGATTTTAATTTGAGGTATTTTTAGTATAGGACCTTTTTTTTTGACAGAGGACTTATGCCCTTTGAATGTTGCTTATTACAACTATCAAGTGAATTGCCTTTTACTCAGGTGCTTATATTTTTCACTTTTATATATTAATATCCAGTTCATTATTTATAAGAATTTTCTCTTTTTATTCCTGCTGAAGAACAGCTTTGGGTATTGGATTCTGTCCCGGGAGAAGTGTACTCTGAAAACAAAAGCGATGAAGTCCGCAGTGTTTTAATGACTTTGGAAAGTTTACCGTCACAAATCCCATCTCGAAAGTGAGACTCTATCCCTAAACTATTCTCTTCCATGTTTGTACTAAGGTTGTCAATAAGCCAGCAGTCAATTTGTTGCAAGTCTTGGGGACGGCGTTATGTGTTGTTTAACTGTACAGTGAAAGTCTACAAATATTTGCTAAACATTGTAGTTAAAAATACTGAATGTAAGTAAAATAACTGTAAGGTGATGGTTCACTCATCACTTTTGATGTTCAATCAAATGTTTTCAAGTATGCATTAAACATCGCCCTCTTTATTTTATGATGCTACTGTCTTTATGTTAACACGGTACATATGACATGAAGTTTTATGGATACAGTTAGACATTTCATTCTAGATATCAGTCTTTTTATTTCTTATACAAACATCAAACATTTGAATATTATTGAGAGATGACTATATTACTCTAGAATTAAAGTAGGGTTTATCAAATTCTACAAATCTTCTTAAAACCTCATGCAATAGAGACTTGCATCGCATGGTTGATTGATCTAGTTATATCGAGAGAAGTAGGACACTGTAAGTTCTTTCTTAATTTTTTTTGGCAAGACCGTGCCCTGATTGTTGTCTAATGTATAAAACGATTGATGTCTTGAGTTTGTTAAAGCGCAGTCTTTATCCTTTTTACTGTATCAAAATGTAACTGAACACTACTACAAATTTACAAATTACAAATTTACAATACATGAAGCCTCCTCAATCCAATCTATTTTTACTTTTAGGCTGAAATGTATTTTGCACCTCTTTTCAGGTGGCTTGTGAGTCATCTGATGGGTCTTGGTTACTCTAAGACACTTGCAGATTGGATAGGCACCAACCTGAAGAAAGAGGGTGATCACGAGACATGGATATTTGATCTTCAAAGTGCTAAGGAGATGTTCGATTCTTACTGGTAAATGAAGCAAATTGACTTATTTTGAGATCAAAATGAATGTTTAAAGAACAGTCTAAAATTTTTGTTTATATTTATTTTTGTTCTTGGCTCATCTCAAGTGTTTTCTGTGATATTCCTCTGTGACAGCACTAAAGTAACAATTCTTAATGTTAAAATTCTGTAGGAAAAGGTCCTATTGGAGTCTATTGGAGAACCCTCCAAAAGGTATGGAAATAGTAATTGTGCGTGCTGAAAAGAGTGATAGATGGGACCAAGAGGCTATCGAGCGGATTCAAAAACTAGCTAGTCAAGGAGGAACTGATTCTGCTGGAAAGGTTTCCTTCTGTGTTCTTCCAAATGCTGGTCATTGGGTTCATGTTGACAACCCAAAGGGACTTCTTGAGATCGTGGCTTCCAAGATGGCATCCCTATAGTTCCTGTTTTATTTGAATTATTAGGGTATCCATCCATCATAGAAAATTCTTGTGTCCAAGAGTTGAATTTCATAACAATGAGCATAAGTGGTTGGTTAGTAAGTAAATTTATAGGCTACCATTTTTTTTAGTAAATTTACTGTACACCCCTCAACCTCATAATTGAAGAAATAAATACTGAGAAATATTCATTTGTCATTTTCACCTTCAAGTAATGTTTTATATGTATTTTCATTTTTATTTAAGAAAAGAAAAACATAACTAGAGTTGAAGAAGAGAAAAATAATATGGTGAAGATTCATGAGTCTGTAGATAAATAAATTTGAGTACTAAAATTATTTGCTCACAATGTATCATTTGTGCATATGAACATGAGTCCATACGTATTTAAAAGGGAGAACCTAATGTCAATCACACGCATCAAAATTTTACAACTTACAAGTTTAGAAACAATTGCTTCAATGAGTCAAAAGTTGTCTTCTCACAGGTTTTAGATAGTGAGAGTCTGAACTCTCTCTAAATTTATCGTGTTCTTTCTCCCTTTCCTTTTTAAATTAGGGTTTTGGGTGGTGCACTTAATTTTTGCAGATTTATTTGGTTCTCTCCAAAATTCTTTTGGTTTTCACCTTTTCTCAAGTATAAGCATTGATTTTTTGTTCTCTAATCAAGTTCGGCTAAGAAGTCTCCACGAGTAAGTGGAAGAACATTCCATTATCAAAGGAGGAAGAAGAAGGAGTAACGACGACAGTGGAGGAGGTCAGCAGTGAAGAGATTTTTCAGCGAACTCTAACAGGCAAACTATGGACGTATAATAGTTTTAACGTTTGACTCTTTACGTATTATAGTAGTAAAGCATTGTAACTACTACTACTCTCTCTCTCTCTCTCTCTCTCTCTCTCTCTCTCTCTCATGTTACAAGCACAATGGTTGATGCACGGAAACTAAAGAACTTGGTGGAAACCTAGGAGCTGAGTAAAAATTATTCTTGTTTAGGTTTGCTACTAAGAGAGACTTGGAATGCATGTTACAAAATGGTCTTTGGAGCTTCGACAGAAACTTACTTGTCTTATCTCGTGTATCAGAGGAAGAACAACCCTTTGATTTGAACATACACTTTGGAGTCTTCTGTGTAAGGATTTACGAGCTTCCTCTAATACCCAGATCTGAAACAATAGCAAGTAAAATAGGAGGGATTTTGGGATCTTTTGAGAAAATGGATCAGAAGGAAGCCAACATGAATGGACGATTTTTTTGAATTAAAGTGACAATGGATCTCAAACAACCATTAAAAAAAGGAAGAATAATGTGAATCAAAGAGAAGAACTTACGAGTTCATTTCAAATATGAGCGTCTAACAACATTCTGTTTTGCTTGTGGAAGATTAGGGCACCAGCTGAAGGATTGCAAATCGTTGGGTGACCTGAGTGAAGAAGGGTATGAAGACCTAAATGAATAAGAACTGTCATATGGCCTATGGCTCAGGGCCACCCGGTTGCAAAGAGTCCCCGAGGAACAAAAGAAATAGGATTTCAGCTCTAATATGTGTAGTGTTGCGGTGAGAATCGGATAACAAACTATTGAATTAACTTGAATAAAAAATCATTGAATCACCACCGAACTTTGACTTATCCAAAGGAAAGGGTAAAGATTGAAGAAAACCCTAAGTGCACAGTGTAACAACAAAGCTAAGAGAATATAAGGTTCGGGGGTTGGTTATACCTATGGAAGGTGTTAGCATCATAAATATCTGCAGTACTCTACACGAACCTCTTGTTAGTATTTGTGTTAAGTTAATTTTTTGCTTGCTAAGGAAAATGTGCTAAGGAAAAGACATAAGGTATTTACAAAGTATGCTCGCCAAGATATTGCATCTCGTGCCTACATATCATAACTAGGATGGAATCAGAGTATTCATAGTTCACCTAACTATAGGTGAAAAACTCTTGATAGTGATCAAGGTTCCAAAAGGGGAGGTAAGTTTTCATGGCAATGACACTTACATAGAGTTAGACAACTCTAATCCTAAGGTTAAGATAAAGGTAAGGTAAGTGTTCATAACCATGACACTCACATAGAGTTAGGCAACTCTAATCCTAAGGTTAGGATAAAAGGTAAGGTAAGTGTCCATAACCATGACACTCACATAGAGTTAGGAAACTCTAATCCTAAGGCTAGGATAAAGAGTAAGATAAGTGTCCATAACCATGACACTCACATAAATTTAGACAACTCTAATTTTAAGGCTAGAAAAGAGAAAGCTAGACTAAGCTATCCTAAACATGACATAAAGTCAACATAGGGGAACCTTTCCTTTAGAATCAGACTAAGAAGAGATTTTGGATGCAAAAAGGAAGGAAAATCTATGGGAGACTGAAACCTGAATGTTGCCACACAAAGGATTGAGAGTTTAATGTGTATCCTACTCCAAGCTTAATTGGAAATTAAGTTGGGCTAGGAGTCTTAAGGGGGCACGTGAACAGAGCACAAGTAAACATTACATAGTTCAATCACAAACAACATCAAGTACCGAACAAGAATCAAGTAAAGATATAAACTCATGTCAAAGAATTACAAGTAACAAGTATCATGAAAGCAGACATCAAGTAGAATCAAGAACAAACATCAAGTAAATAGTAAGAGATGGAAGGATCTAACCAAAAAGATGGTGCATGACAAGCATTCCCTTCTCTTGGACTGGTGAGCCAACAACAAGCCAAGAAATAGCCAAACATTAGATGAAAACAAAATATCCTAGCCAAGTCTTTATGAGGATCAAGAACCAAGTAAGAGCTTCATGTATCAAATGACTTCGATATCAAAGTATCTACACATGCACACATAAAATTTCTCAATACAGACAAAGCGACATAAAAGATACAAGGTCTCCAAATCTTAACTCCAAGAGCATAAGGGAAAGGGTCCTAAATCTAAGTCCAAAGTCTAAAGCTCGTGATAGTAACCACAATCCACCAATTGAAAGTCTTTTAGGATTTTGATATTTTTATCATGTTTTTTGTGTTTTTCGAATAATATGAAGATAACAGGATGAATATGAACAACATTAATATGAGCATGAATCGGGTCCAATGTAGTGCTAAACCATCGTAGTATGATCTATGAGGAAGATTATGCTATAGAAGGCTGCTCAACAACGATGTTAGTGCTAAAACACGATAGAGAAATGATATGTAGATCATTCTCAAAGAAATCGTACCACACGAAAAGGAAAAGCAAACGGTTTCGTCTTAATCACAAACTTTCGTCAATTAATCAAAGGTAACCTACCACGATCCCAAAGTATAGAAAATGATCTCAATGATCATTCACTATATATTTGAAATAATGAAGGTTAAACAACTTCGATAACTGACATCTATGATTCTAAAGACTTCCTTGACCAAAATAAAAAATGGAGATAAAATAATAAAATAATAAAATAATAAAAAAGGGAAGATGAAAATAATAGATTAATAACAACTTAAAACATTATAACACAAGTATTTCAAAAAAATAAAGAAGAAAATCAAAAGATAGCAGATGAAAATAATAATAGTAAAAAATAATAATAAAAACAATAGAAAAAATGGGGGCGTAGGAAATCCTAACGATGGGCTTAAAACAAAAAAATTCTAATGAGCCCAGATCAGTTTTTATGTGGTAGACACCAAAAAGAAAAGAAAAGCTAAAGGAAACAACTTTACACGGTAGAAACAAAAAGCAAAAAAATAAAATAATAATAAACCACATCCATGACCAACTAAAGTCAAAGCTACATTAAAAAATACACCAATTTCTCTGCTTCAAAATGAAAATGCAGCGAAGAACAGAACAAGAAAATGGCATCGTGAGAAATAGATCTGAGTGAACTAAGTTCAACTCAAAATCTCAATCCCTCCACGCGATTCACCATCTTCTCTCAAATTGCCTTCAAATTTCATGCTTCCTTCTTGTTGCTAGCATCACTCTTCTCTCTTTTCGGTCTCGATCTTGCACTTTATTTCTCTCTGTCGACGATAGTGGTCACGAGCGATTATAGTGATGTAATCCATGGTGGTGTGGTGGTTTAAAACTGGTGGTTATGGCGTTATTGTCGAAGGTGTGATAATGATGATACATAATGATTCGCGACAGATTCACTGAAGGGAAGATGGAAGTGCGGTGTTGGTTAAAGAAAGGAGATGAGGAACATGTAGCAGACTATGTAGTGGTGTTAGGGGTAAAGGGTTTATTGAAGATGTTGTTCAATGAAGGCTTATGGTTGAAGGTGAAGAGGTTGGGAGGAGAAGAAGATTTGAAGAAGCTTATTGTTGTTTAGTAGAAAATCAAGTTTGGGTTGTTGTTACGGTTCTTGATGGAGTGAAATTGAATTTGAGATTATTTCTTGCACTTGGACTTATGAAATGGTTCAACTTGGTTGAATCTTCTAAAATTCTTTGAATTAATTCCAAGAAAAACCACTTGAAACCATTCTTAAGCATCTCTGAAATCAGTCTGGAAATGAACGGAAACCTCGATTCAAATCTTGAAAAATGAACCACTTGAAACAAATTTCAAATAAGTGACACTCCTGACTTGACCCAACAATCATCTTTGGAATCGATTTCCAGCATCTTGAACTCTTCATTAAAATCATACCATAAATGTATTGAAATTCTGAAACAATTCCATGGGAAATAACATCACATCCTAATTCCATCTTGAAATGGTCTTGAATTGAATAGCAAGTTGTAATTCTCCTATGACAAGAGCATGAGCCACATAATTAGTACTCGCAAATAACTTGACATATTGACCAAAAAATCCTCAACTTCTGATGACTCTGCAACTTTACTTCACTATATAAACCTTGATCTGACACAAAACCTTAATCTCGGCCACTTGATGATTCTCAGCCATAAATTACTTGAGTCTGACACTCCATTACCCTCACAAAGATCAATACATGTGACCTGAGATATGAGTTGAGGCAATTGCACCAAAACCCTAGTTGAAAATGAAAT